TCTCTCTCTCTCTCTCTCTCTCTCTCTCTCTCTCTCTCTCTCTCTCTCTCTCTCTCTCTCTCTCTCTCTCTCTCTCTATGTGTGTGTCTTTTCTTTTGTAATGTCTGCCCTCATGGATTTGCAGATCATCTTCCACGGAGTATCCAATCTTAGTGTTCCTTTGGACGTCAGTTCAACCCGTGATGTCGGAGTAGTTATGCTTCTTTACGCGTGGGTAGAAAACCAGGAGGGCGGCAGTGCCCCGTTGTCTTGGAACTAGTTTGTTCGTCAGTTTTTGTTTTTTTGTTTATTTTTTTGGGGGGGGGGAGTGGAGGGATTCCTTATTGCAAATCAGTTCTCTCTATTGTAAGGAGGGAGTTGAAGTGTCTATGCGGGATTTGCCGCCCTCACGTGAAAGTATTCTACTGTGTATCTCCTGCGGTGAACTTTGCAGGGCGCCGTGAAGCCATGATTAGCCAATGGGAACTGTCTTGTGTGTGAGCTTCGCCTTCCGAACTCGATATCATATCATCACCTTTTTTTGGAATTGGCTGTCAGGAATTACAGTATTTTGTTAATCTCAGAAGATGATGATGTGTTAACAATGTTGTCGTTCACCTCAATGAGCTTGTTCAACTCTTCTCGTTCTCCGTGTTTGCTTGATCTATGGGTTTCGCTCATTGGGTTCATGTCTACTCTTTCACCTATCTATCCTTCCGCCAGAATCATCGTTCTGTTTCGCTTATATACGATTTATTGTTCCAGTGGCTTCGAGCATACCTTCCTCACTCTGGAAATGGAGTCGTCCTTTTGAGCTTCTTTCGTGAGCTCGGCGCAACGCAAGATATATATATTTTTTTGCAACGAAACTTGGGCCCCGCCAATATTTTTGCTGTGAAACTACCTCTGCGCGCTATTCTTTGAAACTTGCCCAATACGTCATTCAGTGAAGTGTTGGAATGAATGATCCGTCGTCCTCTCAAATTTGTTCGGGCATTTAGATGCCTTCCCGGATTTATTTTTCTTCGTGCTTGCCTTCTCACCCTCCCAAGAATTACTTGCAAGCCGTTAATTCATCCTCCCATAGCCACTCAGCCGGTACCTCACCGCGCAGATTACAAATACTTCGCCCTCAGATCTTTTCCCTCCCGCGAGATGTCTCTCTCTCTCTCTCTCTCTCTCTCTCTCTCTCTCTCTCTCTCTCCTTCCTTTTTTCTTTTTTTTTTGAAGGTTTCTGTTTTGCCCGATTGCATTTTCTTTGCGAGTAACTCCATCTTCATCATCCCTTCGTCGATCCCTCGATACACGTAACAGCAATGTGTTTCTTAACTGTCTTTCTCGTTTACGTTTCCCCTCTTTTTTCTTTTTGAACAAGACGATGATATGTGGAAACACTTCATTTTTGGAGAACTTCTCCGTCGCACTCTTTTATGACCAGTGCGCCATCCATAACGGGAAAACACCGATGCAAGACAAATACCAGGATCGCCTTTGTGCAGGGAGGGAGGAATACGCACTTCCGCACACAATTCCGAACGGCCGAGAAATGAGGCCGCATGAGCGCAAATGAGAGCAAGCAACTTAACGGAACTATAGACCGCTCAAGGGATTGGCCACGTGACCTGAGGGTTTTTGAACTCGTGTTTTGGAACAATTACTTTGGAGGTTTTGAACTCGGGTTTGGTTGATTGACGAACGTGATTTGGACTTAGGTCGCTGGACTTTTCCTATTAGGCTGTATTTGGTCTTTCTTTGGGGTTTTTGCTTTATAGGCTGGGTACCTGACTTCTATTAGGACTAGATTAGTTTGAAGTATTTCCAGCGTCCCGGTACTTTCTAGGCGTAGTCTCTGCTTTGTTGATWGTCGTCCCRTGCGATATAACCAGCTCGCGTGAAACTTTCAAACCCGACTTTCAGACCCCTGACGAGTCGTGGTGGACGGCCACGCGAAACTTTGTTGATAGTCGTCCCGTGCGATATAAGCAGCTCGCGTGAAACTTTCATACCCGACTTTCAGACCCCTGAAGAGTCGTGGTGGGTGGCCACGCGAAACCGGTCGGGTCCTACGCCATGCGGCTACGGTCGCTTTGTACTTCACGTTTTCATAATTCAAGTCACGTTCGGGTTTCGTTGTACGACTTCTTATTTGCATGTCTCCCTTCTTCTACGTCGATCTTCTCTATCCTTTCCCCCTCTCTCTTTCCTTCCTCATGTTTGCTGATCTATTGGTGTTATTCGGATCTTGCCTGTTCATATTTCGACTCGTTATTGCTGTAATCTGACTTTCACGTGCGAGGTAACCAGCGTAGAAGTCGTACTATCGTTGAGTGCCCTCGAGATCATCATGGCGGCGAACAGCAATAACCAGTACTTCGATAATCGGTCTTGTTACAACTGTGGTCAGAATGGTCACATTTCTCGTTACTGTCCCCTTCCGGATACGCGTACTAATCTTCCCCCTTCCTCTAGCACTGCTTTAGTTCCCGCTCAACCTCTTCTGACTCTTCGGGTCGGCAACACCGGTGGTGCGAATTCGGGAGTTAATTATTCAGGGCAGCAGTCCGATCAGTACTCCGATCGTGGTTGGTTACGTAACCGTGTGTCTACGCTCGAAGGAATCGTTACGAAGATTAAAGAGAAGCACGACGCGGATGAGGCCA